ATTTACTTTCAATGTCAAAATTTGAAAATTATTCTACAAATATAACACATGAAACATCATATAGTAGCTATAATTTTAGAAAATTCTCAGAAACCAGACATCAGATATTTACTTTCAATATGAAATTTTGAAAATTATTCTAAAAATATAACATATGAAACATCATATGATACCTAGAATTTTGAAAAAGTATCAGAAGGCAGATATCAGATATTTACTTTCAATGTAAAAATTTGAAAATTATTCTTCAGATATAACATATGAAACATCATATGGTACCTATAATTTTAGAAAATTGTTAGAAACCAGATATCAGATATTTACTTTCAATATAAAAGTTTGAAAATTACTCTCAAGTATAACATATGAAACATCATATAGTACATATAATTTTTAAAAAATTATGAGAAAGCAGATAGGGTGTGGGTGTGGGTGTGGGTGTAGGTACGGGTGATTTCCTTCGTAATATACACCCGTACCCACACCCACCCACACCCACACCCACACCACCCACCCACACCCACGCCCTTTTTACTTTTGACTATCTTATAAGTAGCTCTTTTCAGTTATAACTATCAGGATAACAAAATATAGCAGATAAATCAAAGACAACGTATTTCAAACGATATTGTGTAGACTAATGGATCATAACATGCACACAAGAAATATGCTCAGATTTTTGTCTTATGATCAATTTTGTAAGTGCGCAGAATTTGATTGATTTCATTCTTTAATAATGGTGTTCAAAAATTGATTTTGAAAGTAAATATCTGATATCTGTTTTCTGATGATTTTTTTAAAATTATAGGTGCTATATGATGTTTCATATGTTATATTTCAAGAAGAATTTTCAAATTTTCATATTGAAAGTAAATATCTGATATCTGCTTTCTGATACTTTTTTAAAATTATAGGTACTACATGATGTTTCATATGTTATATTTCAAGAAGAATTTTCAAACTTTGACATTGAAAGTAAATATCTGATATCTGCTTGTCTGGTCAGTATAAATATAAGTGGTAGGGTTTTAATGATTCAATAGACATTTGTTTGTAATTAGGTTGTAGAAGACAGTTAGTACGATGATATCAACTCAATGTTTCTCACTATTTCTAATGTCCGTTCAAAAAGTCCGTGCGTGTGACTATTTTTTGAATAATTTTTGATAGGGACAAGATACAGACTTGCGGTTTTCGGCGTTCGACAGCCAAGGCAAAGAGACATCTTTTCACTATGAAAAACTTTTCTGAGGAACAATTTCGAAGTCAGTTTATCACAGGATCTTTGAAAAGTTCGATTGGATTTCTCAAAACTTGCATGGAGACCTATTGATATTTTTACATATTTGGAATCTCCACTAAAAACTGAGTCAACTCATATATGTTTCGAATCGTTTCGCGACACTTTTTTTCCATCGAAAACCTCTGCCCTAGGAACCCGTCTATAAATAAAGTTAGTCAAAAGATCACTTGGACAGTGGAAAGCAACTTCCGAAGTTGTAAAATGCTACTATAACACAAAATGGCGCAAGATTAAATGATAGAAACGGCGTTTTGACGAACTTTATTTGTTGACGGGTTCCTAGGGCAGAGGTTTTCGATGGAAAAAAAGTGTCGCGAAACGATTCAAAACATATATGAGTTGACTCAGTTTTCAGTGAAGATTCCAAATATGTAAAAATATCAATAGGTCTCCATGCAAGTTTCGAGAAATCCAATCTAACTTTTCAAAGATCCTGTGATAAACTGACTTCGAAATTGTTCCTCAGAAAAGGTTTTCATAGTGAAAAGATGCCTCTTTGCCTTGGCTGTCGAACGCCGAAAACCGCAGGTCTGTATCTTGTTCCTATCAAAAATTATTCAAAAAATAGTCACACGCACGGACTTTTTGAACGGACATTAGTTAGTAGTATTCTAAAAGTTTTGAAAATTTTGAAAATTTTGGCATATAAATTTTGAAAATTAGTAACAATTTGATATTTGTCACTCCTTGCGAAATTCGGGGTGGGTGTGGGTGTGAGTGTGGGTGGGTGGATGTGGGTGTGGATGTGTGGGTGTGGGTGTGGGTGTGGGTGTGTGGGTGTCGATGTGTAGGTGTGTGGGTGTGGGTGTGTGGGTGGG